TGTAACTTTGAGCCCTGGAATGCGTGCGGAAAAGTACTTCTTTGCGCACGCTCGTAGGAAAAATATTTTTTCCCATTTCCGAGTGTAAGGGCCAATCAGGACGGGTTTTACAGTTTAACTGAGGTCTTCCGAATCACGGTCATCAGTTACACATAAATAGAAAAGCACTGTCCTATTCCTCTTGGTGAAACTTACCGACTGGGAAGTATGTTCCTAGGTCTCCTAATTCCCCCACGGTATATTCGATACCATCCGTCTCTAATCTGCGTGAATAGGTTAAGGACGAAAATACATTAACAATTTATATAGAGGCAATCTTGAAAATATACCAAGTGTTCTTTCTAGTGCTGAAGGTAATGAGGATGTACAGCACAACCTTTACACGAAACATGTTGCTCATAATATGAGCATATTCCAATATGCATGTCGTTTACAAGGAATACTTGAAAAACATATTCAAATAACTTGGGGTCAGTTTGTTCATTTAACACTTTTATTTCAGGTTGCCTCCTTTCTTTCTATCACCTACGGCCAGTTCAGTGACCTACCAGTAACCACACCGAAACCATGGAAAGGCCCAATTGCTGACCATACAATCGGAATACATCCAGCAGACACCCCCGAAGTTGCTGCAGCGAAAGCGCAGCACCTTACTGCTTACCGTAATGCTTTATCTATCTTACCAGATTTACCTGCAGAAGAAAGATTTATTGAGGGCAACTTACCGCCGCCACTTATGGGTTTACATAAAGAATCACATCCAAATTTGAATCAGGTAGGTGCCTTATTGAAAAAAATGAATGAATTGATAAGTTAGGCATAATTTTGTAGGTTCAACATATTCAGCCTCTCCCAATTCGAATTCAGGATCCTCATTTCCAACCTTCAATTAGTCCAGTCGCTCACGTTCGGAATCCCGTTGTAGGTCCATCAAAACCAAGTCTGTTAGCTGAAGATATTCCAAGGAGTGCCTTTGGTGAAGTTCCTGAAGTTGCAGCTGCAAGAGAGGCTCATTTAGAGGCTTATGAAGAAGCTAGGAGGTTGTTGCCGAAAACACCACGTGTATAAAAATATATGTGTACCTATTCAATTTTTTAGTACTAAGTACATGGAAAATAGATTTTTCCTACAGCCGTGCGGAAAAATCGATTTTCCGCATTGATATGCGTGCGGAAAATGAGTTTTCCCGCACGGTGCGGTAAAAATTTTACCGCACGCATATCAGTGCGGAAAAAGTTTTGCCGCACGGCTGTCAGTGCGGAAAAAGTTTTACCGCACTGATCTGTCAAAAAAAAAAAGAAAAATTTTACATTTTTACGCCTGTAGGAAAAATATTGTACCTAACACTTGCGGAAAATATTTTTCCGCACTCGGCTGCTTCACCGAACTCCGCTACGCGTCGTTCGGTGAACGGCAGCCGCGTGCGGAAAAAATCATTTTCCGCACTTGTTAGGTAAATAGCTATTGTTAGACCGGATCTATTTAGTTTGATTTTTTTTCCTATTTTTTTTTTTTTTTGCTCAATTAAATAATGTTTAATGAAAGGCTTTGTTTTATTTAAAAACTGAATGTCAGTAAGCAGTAACTGCTTAATGTTGCAGGGCGAAAACTATCCCTACTATTTTTAACAAGGCTGAAAGAAAAATTGAAAAAGCATATTAATTCTTCATTTTTACGACGATTAATGATGTCTTATTTTATCAAAATCAAACTGATGCCCAGCCTGGATGAAGCGGAAAGACTCACCAACCCAGAACCCTCAAACTGATGCTAACCAGCTAACTAATATGTGGGAAGTAATTTCGAAAAAATATCGCTATATCACCCACGCTCTATATTTTCCATTTAAAATACTTGGGATTTCAAAAGATACATAATTTATTTTATGTCATACCAGTACATTATTGTGTTTTTATACCTTAGATACCATTTATATAATTCATTACTTTATGCCCGTGCGGGCATAAAGTACACATTATGGCCCGCGCGGGCATAAAGTACACATTATGGCCCGCGCAGGCATGACATAAAAGTTTGGATGCACCACGGGTACTAATAGATATATACCCTCGGGCAACTTACGAACCCTCGGGCCAGAGGCCCTCGGCTTTGTAAGACTGTCGCCCTCGGGGCATAATCATCTACTTAGTACCCTTGATACATAAATAACTATAATACGCCTCTCAAAAATAGGTTTCATATCCGTTTTTCTTTTCTGTTGGGAGTGACAAAACGCAACATTGCGACAAAAATATATCTTGTCTTTGTACGAAAAGACGCGTCCCTACGGGACCGTTTCCATATCTTTCCGACCCTTTCAGAGGCGTGGGGTCGTAATACGTAATCCAAACAATCAAGAACTTTTTTTTTTTAGAGTTTCTAAACTTTCTGCGTCGTCGATCATATTCGAAATGTACAACGGATTATCTTCGACATGTAAAATATTTGCAATTTTTCTAAAAAAAAAAAGTACCGTCTTTTTTGTTTAACGTTTTTCTAATTGCCATTATTTACCTTGCAGCTAAGTAACTAAGAGGAGAAAACCAGACCGAAATGAATTTCGGCTGAGTAAGTTTTTAGTATAGCGTTATACAGAACGCTATATTATGTTGTCGAGACCCGAGACCATTTCTGATTTGTCACTTGTTTACATGTCAGGTTGTGTTAAGCTTTTTTAATCTGACTTTTTCCGTGAGGGGAGGAAAAATACAGCAGAAACAGGTGTGAGATCAGGTTACCATTGGCGTATTAACCAATAGGAAGGCTGAATAACCAGCAAGTCTGCTTAAGGGTAATATTAAGACTCCAATATAGAGACAGTTGTAAACAACATTTTAAAGACAACAATATACAAACAGTTTTTAGCCTTTACATATTAGAATGTGTGAAATTTATGTCAAAAAATCCAGATTTATTTTTAGACCAGAGATTAAATCACCTTATAAAAAAGGCATAACGAAAACATGACATCGAATATTGCACTTTACTTTCGACCAGAACAATGTAAATTATAGTATCAAAAAAATATGGAACAGCTTGCCAATTACCTATTTTTAGAAAATTTCCCCAAAAACTGCTGTTAGATAAACTGAAAAATTTCCTGGAATAGTTATTTACCTAACAAGTGCGGAAAGTGGTACCCTCGACGGTTTGCCCGAACTCCGCTCCGCGTCGTTCGTGCAACTGCCGTCTCGTGCGGAAAAGACATTTTCCGCAAGAGTTAGGTACAATATTTTTCCTACGAGTGCTTTTGTCCATCTTATTTATCAAAAAAAATGTTCCAATACGCAGATTTTATAATGATGGTACAAAATAGCACATAATACAAAATAATATATAACATAAATCATTTATTTGATCCTAAATATCTTCATTTTTAGCAATAAAAAAATCGTGCGGAAAAGTAACTTTTCAGCACGATTTTACTTTTCCGCACGATTTTTTTATACACAAAAAAATAATGGAACCGGATTTTTTTATCATGATCCTTGGCCTATAACTAAATTGGCCAAAAAAATTGGTAGGATTCCCTACCTTCTCGGGGCTATGCCACCTAAAATAGGGGGCCCTGCGGGGCTGTGCCCCCAAATAAGGGGCTTCGCCTAACCCAAAAAGGAGCACCCAGGGCTTCGACCCCAAAAAAGGTGCCCCGCGGGACTGTGCCCCTCAAAAATGGGGCTCCTGCGGGACTATGCCCCCCAAATTGGGGGCCACCGCGGGGCTCCGCCCCCCAAATAGGGGGCCCCCGAACTTTAATATGGGTACATTTTTCAGTAAAAGTAAAAATCGTGCGGAAAAGTAAAAAAATAGTGCGGAAAAGTAAAATCGTGCGGAAAAGTAACAGTAAGCAGGAAAAGGCATATTACAGCATCGTGAATTTATTGAATGTTCTCTCAAACCAGGTGAGCTAGCTACCTGCGGTTTGTGCCATTCGATTTCTCTTGGTCTAAAGTTTTTTCCAGTAGGTTTCAAATTTTTTTGAAACTTATACAGGGCGAGTAAAAAAAAATCCGTATTTCAACATCGAAATTCTCCACTATTTCTAATGGAACACCCTGTATATCACAACGTCAAAAAATAGATTAATGTTTAAGGTTTCCATGTACCAATAGACATCGTCCCTAAAACTTGAAGCTTTAGCCGAAAAAAAATCTAAATCGAAATCTTGGTATTTTTGCAAACGCATGCAACTTCATGTTGTAGGAACTTGATATCACTATGGCAAACAATTTGGAACTGTCTAGTTAGATATCAATTAAGTTGAGATACATTTTCATTGATGAACCAACAATAACAGAAACTGTATACACTGATATGTTCTTTTTCCCATAGTTGAGACAGGAGGTTATCTTGAATGATATCTATTTTCAGCAGGATGATGCCCCCACCTCATTATTCATTAATAGCAATGGAATCACTAGATATGACATTTGAGGAAAGACGGATAAGGAGAGCTGGCCGCTGGCCTATAGAATGGACACCTTACTCTCTTGACTTGCGAGTTCTAGACTCTTTTCTCTGGCGTTATGTCAAGGAAAGATGCGGCAATACTTTGCTAAAATAGCCTGAAAGATCTTAAGTGGAACATTTGTAATGTCATTGAAGCGATTCTCCAGGAAATGTTACACAATTCATTCAACCATTTATTGATCCACAAATGCCTGGAACAGAATGGCTAACATATACATATAGGTACCTGCAGCTTTTTGTATAGTTTTATGCAGTTGTTATTAACTTTTTATTAGGCAAACATAAGGTTGAAGCTTTGAAAATAGGTGTTTGCAAAAATACCAAGATTTCGAATTTGATTTTTTACGGCTAAAACTTCAAGTGGTAGGGACGATGTCTATTGGTACATGGATACCTTAAACATGAATTTATTTTTTGACGTTGCGATATACAGGACGTTCCATTGAAAATAGTGGAGAATTTCGGTGTTGAAAAACGGATTTTTTTTTACTCGCCCTGTATAAGTTTTAAAAAAATTTGAAACCTACTAGAAAAAACTTTAGACCAAGAGAAATCGAATGGCACAAACCGCAGGTAGCTAGCTCACCTGGTTTAAAAGTTATAAGCATTTAAAATGGGTCACTCTCGGCTGGGACACCCTGTATTATGACGAGATTTACACCCCAGTCGGGTAGGTACCTATGCAATGTATTTTGTTTGACTTGAAACATTGTAAAAGAACCACATAAAGATTTTATTATTACTCTTATTATAATTATAAAAAAAATATAATTTTAGAGATATATAGTAGGTTCAATCACAGAGAATCTCAAACCTAGGACAAGTGAACCAAGCAGAAGATAGAAAAATTAAAACAAAATAAAAATCAAGAGTTAAATGTGGTAGTAGTTTAGTAACACGGGTAACACAAATACTTACTCAATAAAAAAGGAAAATTTATAAATAAATAAATAAATAAAAAAAGGCGGTCCTAGCAGTGGTTCCTTATATGATTTGTATTGTTTATATTTCTCTATTTATTCAAAATGAAACACTCACTTAGGTTCATTATATAATTTGTAACAAATCCACTAATTATTTCAGAAATAACTATTGTAATTTGAAAGGAAAGTTCCAAAATTATTTATCACAATGCGCGCCTTTACATTATTCATCTTCATATCCTTCGGGAAGTGGATTCATTTTTGGATTGTGAAACAGAGTCTTCTTGCCGTCTCCCCAGGGAAAACTTTTAGTACGTCTGCGCATATGCGGATACGCATGAAATGGTTCCCGTTCGTGCTCTTCTTTCCCCTTGCCCAGAAAAGTAAAGATACCTAAACCGATTACTATGGGAAGACCAAGAAATAATGCCAAGCGTTGATAAATTATGTACTTTCCTCCGTGGTCGGGCAGTTCTACTCCAGAAGAGGAGTCGGGGCATTTTCGGCTACCTTTTGACCCGGTTGTCCAGAAACTTCGGAAGATTGTAATTGACCGGATGCGAGACATTGAAGATAAAGTAGGTGGTAAAAATCTTGTGATAAAAAGTGTATATCAAATGAACAAACGTAAATTATGACAAATGAGTGAATTTTGACATTTTTTTTTTTTTTTTAACAGACAAGTCAGAATTGCTAGGTGTGTTTTGGTGTAGGTACCTGCATTCTAAACCTTCAAGCCGTGTTCGTTTTTGTCATCTTTTTCGTCGATTGCTCCGAAATTTTGACAAGCACGTGATTTGTAATTTGAAACCATAGACAATAAAAAATAAAAAGACCTTCAAAAGTATAGCCGAAATAGGTTATACTATTACTGCGCATCCGGTTGCACATAGCGCATTGCGGAATTTTTGGAAAGCTAGAGACTTACGAAAGATCAGTCCGATCATTCGATTCTGTTTCATCTTTCTCTGTCATACCAATTCACAAGACAAGGACACCGTATGAGTTACAGAGCTTTCCTAGCTGTTTTGTAGAAACCTATCAAACATCCATAACTATAGAAACTGTGACCGAGAAAACAAATAAGTAACCTTAAAATAACGACATTTCCGCGTTGAAATTTGTCATTTTTAACGGATTAGGCGGTCGTCTAAGAAGACTCGAACTCACAAAATCCAAAGAACAAGAAGAAGAAATTGTCATTTTTATTAAGGCACTCGGTATCGCGTACCTATAATATTATGTACAACTAGGATAACTGAACCAGTAAGTATACATGTTAGTTTTGTGATATACGGCATATTTTTTTATTTTTAACCATATATGTAATGTTGACATTACAGTCTTTTTAAAAATTTGGAAATGTCACTTTACTGTCTTTTCATTTCCCTGCTCCACTTCCCGTCCCCATTTCCCGTCCTCACTTCCCGTCCTCGTTTCATTATATTTATGTGGCAGGTATTGTCAAATTTTTTTCCAAATTGATGACAATGACATAAAATTCAAGCAAATAGCATGAAGCTACGTTCACATTCAATTTCATTTCTAATTTAAATTAGGCAATCTCAATCACGTGATTCTATAATGGCCGTTCGGGTCAAATATTGCCGTGACAAGGGTGACAAGCCGGTGACGTTCATAAGGAGAGCATTTGCGTTCAGCCCTTGTTGCTTTCGAAGTGAATTTTATGTGTTTCTATGTATTTTTCATTGGTTTTGATTTTGGTCATTGTTGTTTTCATAGTGAATTTTATAGTCTTTATTTACGACTAATGTATAATGTGCGTATTATATTTGTGATTTTGGCAGTATAATGACATATGTTATTCCTCCAGGGATCAATGACGAGTAGCGGGATTAATGGTCATTATTCTACACAAGTGTCAGTGTCAAACGTGTAGTGCTTGTGGATTTGTATTGAAAATTATGAGACGGATGAAATTTGTTCATTGAAAATCTCAAATAAATTAATTTGTCGTAAATAAAGTAGAGTATACTACTCGCAATAATGGCTATTATTCCCTCGGAATGTTACTCCCTTGCCGCTAACGCGGCTCAGTTCGTAATAATCCTCGGGAATAATAGCTATCATTATTGACTCGTGGTATAATCTACTATTAGTATTTCAACGTATTTTTTAGTGTTCTGGCCCTTGTTGTTTTCAAAGTGATATTTATAGTGTTTATAGTGTTTCTACGTATTTTTTAATTTATTAATAAATTCTGAGATGGAGAGTGAATATTTTAAGGTTTTTTTTTTTTTTTTTTTACGGATATGCGCACTCGCAAGGAAATGTCCTATTACGCTCGAGAAGCGGCAAGTGCGCGGAAATGTCGGTGTATGTTGGTCTTGAAACGGTTCAGGTTGTAACCTGCAGGGAAAACCGTGGCAGGGAGTTTATTCCACAGCGATGCTGTTCTCCAGAGATATGAATTCTGATATAATGAGGTTCTTGGTGCCTCTAGTTTGACAGTAAATTCATGGTTACCGTCTGTTTGACGGGTTCGCCTGGTAGGTGCTACTCTCGGTGGAATCATACGTGCCAACTCTTCAGAGCATTTTCCGTGATAGTACCTGTAGAAGAGAGATAAATCGCCCACAGATCTGCGATATTCGAGACCATCCAAGTTACGAGTAAGTGCGGGGTCATTGATCAGCTTGATAGCTCGTTTTTGCACGGTATTCAAAAGCATTAAGGTATGTTTGGGTGCTGCACTCCATATATGTGAGCAGTACTCCATAGTTGGTCGAATCTGGGCTTTGTAGAGTGTCAGCAATTGGCTTGGTGTGTACAGATGTCTTGTACGAAATAGCACCCCCAGCTTTTGGGAGGCCCTTTTAGCAATATCTGCCACGTGACTGTGCCAAGACATGTTGGTCTCTGCAGTAACCCCCAAGATGTTCAACTGACTCTGTAATGTGACAGCACTTCCAGATAGCATGATGTTTGGCTCACCGGTGCTGGTCTTTTTTGAAAACAGAGCTGCTTGGGTTTTCTGCGCGTTGAACTGTACAAGGTTTTTGTTACCCCAGTCCTCTATTATCTCCAGGTCGTTATTTATCTGCGATATTTGAGTTAGTCTAAGATGATGGAATTCACGTGCGGAAAGACCTGTGGGTGGTATGAGCGAGGAGACTACATTGCCATCGTCTGCAAAGCAATAAAGTGGATTTACTGTTTTATCTATGAGGTCATTTATGTAAATCAGGAAAAGAGTAGGCGAAAGGATTGCTCCCTGTGGCACACCAGCATTTATTTGGTAAGAGTGGGAGTTCTGGCCATCCAGTGCAACATAAATGGATCTGTCCTTTAGGTAAGTTTCAAACCAAGTGCAAAGTTTCGGCGATAATCCCATTGCTTTGAGCTTGTTGAGCAGATTTTCATGCCAAACTTTGTCGAATGCTTTAGATATATCTAAGGCAATTGTTCTTGTTTCACCCCGCAACTCAATCGCTTTTTGCCATAAGTGAGTGACGTATGTAAGTAAATCGCCAGTTGACCTATATTTTCGAAATCCGTATTCCTTATCGTTGATAATTTTGTACTTTTCCAAGTACTTGGTTAGGTGATTGTTCACAACTCTTTCCATTACTTTTGATATCACCGGAAGTAGAGCAATTGGTCTATAGTTTAACGGATCTGTCTTTTTTCCTTTCTTTGGAATGGGTTGTACTGCGGCAGACTTCCATGATGATGGATATACTCCTTGCCTGTAAGAAAAATTGAATAATTTTGCGAAAGTTGGGGTGAGTTCGTTGGCGCAATTTTTGAGTACTATTGCGGGAATGCCATCCGGACCCATTGCTTTGTTTGTATCCAGCTTTTTTAGGGATTTTCGTATTTCTCTGTGACAAAAGGGTACCTCTGGCATACTATGGGAAACCCTTTCAATGAACGGTGGAGTTTTTCCGTTTGGCACTGTTAGGTTGGAGTTGGAGGAAAACATTTGGGCAAGCATATTGGCTTTTTCCTCTGATGTTGTGGCTAAGTGATTATTTTTATCTGTAAGTGGTGGTATGGATGACTTGGTGAAGTTAGATCCAACAGCTTTTGCAAGAGACCAAAAAGACCTAGAACTACTTGGACAATTCAGCAACCTGTTTTTTATTCTTTGATTGTATGTTTCTTTAGCGGAGTCAATAGTAATTTTGCAACTATTTCTGGCTACTATAAATTCTGTATAGTTTTGAACGGTTTGTTGTCGTTTCCAAAGGTTATATGTTCTGTGTTTTTTCTGTACAGCCGTTTGACACTGGCTGTTGAACCAAGGTTTTGCATTAGCTCTACGTTTAGTTGTATGTGGGATATATGCGTCCATTCCAGATAAGATTACTTGTGTTATTTCATTACAGCAAATAGTGGGATCAGCAAACCTCTTGCCATGGAAAATCCAGGTAATACTGTTTTAGGTCATTCCATTTTGCCGATTTATAGTGCCACATTTTACGAGGAAGTGGGATGAGCATTTCGCACTTTGTTATTATAAGTTTATGATCGGACGAACCAAGTCGAGCATCTACTTGAATTGTGTACGAGTCAGGATTGGTCGTTAGGAACAAGTCTAAAAGCGCTGCAAATTCGCCCCTTTCTGAGATATGGGTAGGTTCATCGACAAGCTGCATTAGACCACAACTTATGGCAAAAGCTTCTGCTTCTCTGCCTTCGTTATCTGTTTTGTTGTGGTGTTTCAGCCAGGGTATATTGTGGACGTTGAAATCGCCTGAAAAGACAATTTCCGCCTGTGGATAGTTTGACTGTATACTATCACAGCTTTCGGATAATGTCGCGAAAAAGTTTTGGTAATCGGTGTTACTTGGCGGTCGGTAGAGGCAGCAGATAAACTTGGTCGATGACTTTGAGGTGAATTTTAGCCATATGATATCAAGGTTCGCTGGTTCTAGCTTCTCCTCTCGATGACATGAAAGGTCATTTTTAATGTACACACAGATCCCAAAATTATGTCGAAGTCGGTGGTGTAGGTCATAGCCGGGATAAAGATAGTTCACAATAGGTGTTGCAGAACTGATTTTAGTTTCAGTGAGAACAAGGATGTCAGGTCTTTGTTCTTCAGGATGTTGGTGAACTGAATGGGCTCTTTCACTAATTTTTGAAATTGGCATATTTGGATAAAGCAACTAAAAACAGAATTTTCTGTATTTTTACTTTTGAAAAATTCATAGTCCTTCTTGAGAAAACAGAAAAAAAAAGAAATACCTCCAAATAAAAACCCAGAATTTATTTCTATGACGTCGCAGCTCGCTATTTGACCGTGTTGCCACTAATTGTCAACATTGAAAATTTGTAATAGATTTAATTCTGAAATGTTCGCAAAATTTCATGAAAAGTAGTTAAATTAATTAGTTATGGATTCAAGATTTTATAACCTTTTTATTGAAATTATGCTTAAACACAATCTAATATAATTTTCTATGTTTAGTTTTATTTATTTATTTTACGTTGCACTACATTTAGTCACCACCGACAACAGCGCATTCGAACCTTTACCTGCATTTACTACAGGATAAATACAGCAGAGGCGGACAGCTGTTTGCAACAACAAGCGAAATGAAAAATATTTATGCGACGTCAGCAAATCGGCGCGTTTTTAAATAATTCAAATTTTGGTAGTTTAAAATGCCTGTAAAAAACTTATTTAACCTTGT